GTCTACACTATTTTTATACTGTGAGATAAGAAATGGCAATTTTAAAAGACTCCATCATTCTTTTTTATTGATCATGTGCACCTTCATTGTAAAGAAAAAACAATTCCTTCAAAAATCGTGCAGTGACCCGAGTATCTGACGCAGGAAGGTCGAGATAAATACTTGGATTTCTCGCTAATCAGCTTCTAAAAGGATAGCTTGGTGCCAGAATCCTTTAGTTGTCAGGGATGTTTTTAGTATCATTATGAATACGTGTGTCTTTGTATTTCTGCCTTTTCTTTTTCAAAGACAGGGTGTCTCTCTGTATCCCTTGGTGGCTCCAAACTTGCTCTATGGACCAGGCTTCCTCTGCCTCCCAAGGGCTGGGATAAAAGTGGGCACCACCACCACCCACCTTTGTATTTCTGATACATTTTATTACATTGTGGCCATTACCTTTGACTTGTAAGAGCTTCTTCAAGTTGTTTTTTGTTGTTGATGTTGTTGTTTTGTTTTGAGACAGAGTCTCATGTCTGACCCTCCTGCCTCTGCCAGTGAGTGCTGAGGTTACAAATGTGTACCATGCCTGGGCAAACCACACCTCCTGCCTGTGGATCTGTATAGGCTCCCATCTCCTGACAGTGTTTCCACTCCTGGATTCTGTGCAATGGGCACTGAGATGTCCTTCAGTAGGGAAAACCAAACCTAAATCCTCACCTCTTTTATTAGTGGTAAAAGTTATAGCCTCTCAGAGGCCTCTCATCTCTTAAACTGGAGTTGCTACCACGGGTCTCATACCGGCAAAGGTCACATGGGAGGTGCTGAGATGCAGCCACTAGATGCCCACTAATCATGTCCAGAGTGCTGTCTGAGTGTATGTGCCTGGGTGTTGCAGTTAATGGGGAGGTTAATGCTTTAAAGTAGGGATCCATAGAGGACACTCAGACTAGGGTTCCTAGTTCACCGTCAGGGCCACTTGATCCTTTGATGTCCCTTAGTGGAGGCCTGCAGTCCAAATGGCTGACGATAAACATCCTTTGAAACATGGTTTAGGACATAGGCTCACATCCCTGTAGCCCAGGCTCTGCCAGAGATGCAAATCTCTCCAAAGAGCTCAGTGGTTTAATTCATTAAGGCTTTCCGGGTCCTTTATATCCCTAAGACTGAAAAGTGAATTGTAAAGCAGGTCTTCCCAAACTGCAAATGAAAATGGAAAGCCCCCCAGTAGGAACACCAAGTGACCTGAACACGGCCACACCTGTGCAAAATGAGAGTGCAGGCTGAAGTTCTCAACTTGCCCAGAACAGAATTGGTCAGCAAAACACAGCCAGAGCCTGGAGGAGAGCATACTCCACATGGGCCAGACTCTTGGCTCAGTAAGCAGGGGATGCAGGACGAGGTATCCCGGCTGGGCGTGTTCAGGATGCGGTCAGCCCTGGGTATTCTTTATCGTCTCATCAGGCCGGCATCAAAGAGCTTCTAGAAACTGCTTCCCACCGTGGGGAGAGCGTGGCGAGTTAGATTGGTGGGCGCTCTTTCAGGTCTCCTCTCTCTTGCGACACCAAGTGTGCCAGGCAGTTATTGTCCTGTCTGCGCTGGCCACCCCTCGCTCTAATGAAGGTGGAATGCTGTCTGAGGAGTTGCCTTTAGGAGGGTTTTTGGTCTCTTTGTTGTTCCCCAGGGCTTGAACTGCTGGGCTCAAGTGATCCTCCTGCCTCAGACTTCCAGGTGCCTGGGCAGATTTTTACCATTTCCTGGATAAAGGACCTGGAAATATGGTTGAGGACTCAGGTCTGAAGGCCACATGTGTGAGTAAGCATTCAGGCATCTGTGCTGGCCTGCCCTTGGGGTCTTACAGGATATGCCCTCAGCTGTAGCCACTAAGAGCACCACCTGTGCACATTCACTGCATTCTCTTTTAAAAGGCCCCTGCCCACCTCCCTTCCTCCCCCCCCCCCCGCCTGTGTCTGCTTCTCTGCCTTTCTCTCTGCCCCCCATCTTTTCTGTTCTGCTGATCCTGTTCCCAGAGGCTGGTCCCCCTCCATCTCCCCCCCCATCCCCTCCTGCCTTTTCCCATTCCCTTTCCCCTAATAAAAAGACCCCTCCACTTGAGGTGTGTTGCATGGCATCTTTCTCTCTCGCACCTGCTTTTAAAATTACAACACACACCCCAGCTAAGCTTGGATGGGCAAAATTGTAAACTTAAAGCAATATAAGAATTTCTTAGAAAATTTCTTCATTTTTTAATAACCTGATTGGTGCTTCAGAGGAGGCCCTAGATGTTTCTTATTAATCATGGACAACTTGTTGTTCCAGTAAAGATTTTATGGTGTCACTCCCAGCCTTTACAGGGGCTGCCATGTTTCTCAATCAAGTGACTAAAAGGAGGCAGGAACTGTCAACCTTATTAGAAGGCAACTGGTTCACAGAGTCCAGGGCAAGGTGCAAATAGGGATGTAACCTGAGCCAGGCCACCCCAGCCACACCCTGCCTACATCCATCTGCTCACACTCAAATTCCAGGGAGATGGTCTGTTTGAGTTGTTTTGGGCTGCATGCCTTACCCACGGCCACTCGATGGACAGCAGTGTAGGGGACAAGTCCTAAAGGAAAAAATCAAAGTACACTTGGCCACACACTGGGAGAGGTCTGGTAGACAACACCATCGTCAACACTCTTATCTCTAACTCGTCATTACCGCCTGCCCCATCATTACTACCACCATCATTGCCACAGCCATCATCACCACAGCCATCATTATCACAGCCATCACTGCCACCACCATCATCACCACAGCCATCATCACCACAGCCATCACCACCACAGCCATCACTGCCAGCCATCACTGCCACAGCCATCATCACCACAGCCATCATCACCACAGCCATCATCACCACAGCCATCACCACCACAGCCATCACTGCCACAGCCATCACCACCACAGCCATCATCACCACAGCCATCACCACCACAGCCATCATCACCACAGCCATCATCACCACAGCCATCACTGCCACAGCCATCATCACCACAGCCATCACTGCCAGCCATCACTGCCACAGCCATCATCACCACAGCCATCACTGCCACAGCCATCACCACCACAGCCATCACTGCCACAGCCATCACTGCCACAGCCATCATCACCACAGCCATCATCACCACAGCCATCATCACCACAGCCATCACCACCACAGCCATCACTGCCACAGCCATCACCACCACAGCCATCATCACCACAGCCATCACCACCACAGCCATCATCACCACAGCCATCATCACCACAGCCATCACTGCCACAGCCATCATCACCACAGCCATCACTGCCAGCCATCACTGCCACAGCCATCATCACCACAGCCATCACTACCACAGCCATCACTGCCAGCCATCACTGCCACAGCCATCACCACCACAGCCATCATCACCACAGCCATCACCACCACAGCCATCACCACCACAGCCATCACTGCCACAGCCATCACCACCACAGCCATCACTACCACAGCCATCACCACCACAGCCATCATCACCACAGCCATCCTCACCACAGCCATCATCACCACAGCCATCATCACCACAGCCATCACCACCACAGCCATCATCACCACAGCCATCACCACCACAGCCATCACCACCACAGCCATCATCACCACCGCCATCATTGCTTCCGCCATCATCGCAACCTCCGATGTCTTCACTACCTAACCGCTGTCATAACAAGCCCGATTGTCTCTCCCACTACCACTGTGATCACCACCATCACTAGAGAGCCTTCACCATTTCAGCTGTCACTGTCAACAGCGCCATTACCACACCGCCTACGCCACCACTACTCATCCCTAACCATGCCAACAATATCTGCCACCTTACCACCGTCATCACCAACCCAGCATAACTACCCCACCATCACCACGGTTGTCAACACACCCCCATCAGCTCCGCCCCCTGTGTCTTCCTTCCTGCCTGTCCTCTCCAGGGGCTGGCAGCCATGTTTGCTGTTCAGCTAGGAGGGTGGGCTGTTTAAATGGCGAAGAAAGCAATTAAAAGTGGGAGTTAGGCAGTTTGAACTATTTTAATTAGTTCTAGTTAGAACTAATTAAATAGTATGTTACTAAAGGAAACATACTGTGTCATTTAGTAAGGACGGAAACATTTGTCTAAAGGAACAGGATTGATCCTGTTCCCTCATGTCCCCCACCTCCCACCCCATCCCTCCAGGCAACATTACTTCACCAGCAGGGAGGATGCAGAAGCTAACTGACTACTTGCCCTAAAAGCTTGCTGGTCTTAGTTAAGGTTTCTATTTCTGTGAAGAGACACCATTATCACACCAACTCTTATAAAGGGAAACATTTACTTGAGATGGCAGCTCAGAGTTTTAGTGCATTATCATCATGGCGGGGAGCATGGCAGCGTGTAGGCAGACATGGTGCCGGCTCCATGTTGATCAGAAGGCAACAGGAAAGGGTCTGTGACACTGGGTGGTATCTGGAGTATAGGAAACCTCAAAGCCCAGCCCTGCAGTGACGCACTTCCTCCAACAAGGCCATACCCACTCCAACAAAGCCAAGTCTATTAATAATGCCACTTCCAATGAGATTATAGGGGCCAAACACGTTCAAACTAGTACTCTTCCCTTGTGTTTGTCCTTTGTAGAGCTGTTTCAACAGCCATTGGCCCCTGAAGACACCACACGCCTGGCCATCTACCTGGAGAAGGAAATCATCACATAGGATTACCTGGTGCTGCCTGCCAGGTGTAAGCCCTGGGATTCACAGCTGAGTCACAAGCTGTGGGTGGAGGCCTTCTGCATCCAGGGCCTACACACATCTTGTCATGCCTCCTCAGTAGTGACTGTAAAGAACAGAAAGGCTTTTAATCGTGTGCATGTTGTTAGAACACAGGCTTTGCACCTTCAGGGTTGATGCCACAGCCTGAATCAGGCCTCACCTCCTGCTGGTAACGGTACCTGGTTTCTCTCTGCTCCTTGATATGTGTGATATGGTGATGTAAGTCATG